GATGTGTGGGTCAGCTCGAAGGGTACATTCTGGCAACTTCGCCTTCAATCTTTTCTCTATCTCAAAATTGTATCCTTGTCTAAAGCCATTATCCGCCTTCCAACCCTCGAGAACCATGTCCTTCAAAATATCTATCAGGGCACGCTCCTCACGCGGGCTCCAAACGCGTCGTCTTGCTGTGTTGGAGGAGGAAGGTCGGCCACTCTCTTGTGAACAAGAGTAATCCATCTGTAAACCTGTTGATACAAGATTTTTTATACGAGATGATTGGGTTACATTGTTAACATAAACATTGCTTAACGCCATGAAATTCAATTGGGAAATGAATGCTTAACATGAATTCCAAACACATTCCATTAAAATGTAAAAACAGTTCTCGTTTCAAGCACGCACAACAAAATAATCAGATATGGGGAAAATGTCAAACAAGCAATGGTCCAAAAAAAGTAAACAACTGAACGACTATCGTATATTCAAACAACAGTTCTTAAACTAAATCATATTATCCTGCCAATCACGAAACATATCATGTGCCAATCGGTCACGAAACTCTGTCCATTCTACGCTACCCTCCACCTGGTCTATCAGATCATCCTCAATCGTATGTGTGGGGGCTCCATCATATAGTATCTCAGGAACTAACGCTTCCATGGGATCAGTGGCCATAGATGTACGTATGAAATTGTGAATGAGTGCGCATGCCATGATAATGCGATTTTGGGTTCGAATAGAATAATATGAGCAACTCCTAAGAATTGCCCACCGCATCTTCATAATACCGAACGAACGTTCTATTACATTTCTAGCCTTAGCATGACGAAGGTTGTACAATTCTCGAAAGTTTTGTGGCCTTCGTGACCCTGTACCCCATTCTTGTAAGTGGTATCTTACACCCCTATATGGTGCTAAAAACCCGGGACCATTTGTGTATCCTCCATCCACCAAGTAATAATTTCCTGTGACACAAGTTCATTTAAAAAAAATAATTCAATTCTTGTGTTATGTTCAATTTAAAAGAAAGGTGTTATGTAACATTTGAAATGAAGGTTGGATGGTTTTTTAGGTAATATAATCATTAAATACCCGTTGGAACACGTAGGCCATGCGTCCTAGTAACTGCATCACGCAAGACGCGACTATCTGAAGCTGACCCCTCCCATCCACATAGCATGTAGATGAAGTTCATATTTTTATCGCAGACCCCAAGTACATTGACAGAGATATCACCCTTACGGGTTCTATATCGTGCCTTGTCCGACAAAGGGACTCGCACGTCAATGTACGTTCCATCTAGTGCTCCTAGACATCCCTAACGAAAGATAAGTACCAAACAATTAATAGTTCGAGATCATTCAACTAACAAATTTATAACACGTAGTGAAATGCGGTGTAGGTTACCTTAAACCATTTCCACCTTGCATCGACGCAATCCGCCTCAACTGCATGCGGTTTCACAGCAAGGACGGAGTGAAGTCGGATTACAGCGTCAAGAACACGATTAAAGTATTTGCTTATTGTTCGACCGGATCTTACAAAATCAAGCTTTAGTGTGACGTTCTTCTTATGATGGGCAAGGACTGAGAGAAAGATTGCAACTTGTTCGCTTGGTGGAACATTTCTAGATTGTCTAAGTCCCCCTATGGTTTCAAGAAAGTGACAAAGACGGCCAAAACAGTTACGATCCATACGGAGGTTCTCGACACAAGTTGTGTCGCTCACGTTTATCAACCTTCGCATGTAAGTGATTTGATGAGGGAGTCTATCACTAGCTCGATATAACAGGACGTGCTCACTTGACGCACGTCGACGTCTTCGTCTAGGGCGGATGAATTTAATATAGTAATAAATAAGTAGTAGCAAAAACAGTTGAATACTACTGATGACCTCTTCCAATATGGTAATAACAGCTAATTCGTCCGCAACAGAATCCATCTACAAATTTGGATCAACAAACCTCATTCAACAAACCTCAATATACAAAAGGTGAATATGGATTTCATGTTAAGACAATGAATCAAACTTCTCACACCATCTGATGATGCCAAGTACACGATAATGCTACAATAAAATAAGTACATGATAATGCCACAATAAAATAACTACATGATGATGTCACAATAAAATAAATATAAAATAAAAAAAGATTGATCATAGGTTCATAATAAGGGCCATTATTTATTATATTCTTTTAATTTTTCTATGGGTTAAGATTTTCTGTACATAAAAATATATAAACATAATAAAGGTTCAGTAATTAAAGGCCTTGAGAATCATGGGACCTCTCTATTACTTGCCAAGAACTTCCTGAACGAGCAAAGCAAGACAACAACACCTTATTAATATATTAATATGTATTAAATTTATCCTGAATATACACAATTAATTATCTGCATAAACATAATGGGCAAACAAATCATCACTGAATTCTTATAGTTTGGGGGAAAAAAAACTAGTGAAAAGTCATCTAATGAAAGCAATGAAAGAATTCAGATTTAACAACACTACAACAAAATACTCTAGATATTTGTTATTAATAATTTTTCTTTCATAAACATA